GCCTAAAGCTTTAATACACCCTCCAGAATATTTTCGCGATAATATTCGGCATTAATTCTGATGCGGCTGTTATGGCGGCTCACACCATCGCCATGACCGGCGCTTGAGTTCTGGTGGCCATTTTGTTTGTTTACAAACTGCTGGACAACGAATGTTTTCTCATCGGAGAAAACCAAATTCGGCAGTTCACCACTTTCGGCCAAGCGAAACAACTCTTTGGCTCTTTTGAGTCTATTTTGTTTCTGTTGCGGTGTAAGTTCTTGTACTTTTTGGAATTTCAATGGCTTTACCCTGAGCTCATTTTTCGGCCACTGCGACGCGGGTTTCGATCAAGTCGCTTCTTCACGTTTCGAAACATTTTTTATACCCTCCACCATAATATTGAGGGTATATTTACTTTGTCATTCCGTTTGTAACTCCTCGAAATACTCATGTCAGACCCAACAAAATATATATATTCTTGATCAGCGCAAAATTCTAAGTCGATTTAACGAAGCCCGTCTATCTGTCTGTCTGTTGTAATCACGCTATCTTTCGAATGAATTGAGATAGACAGCTAAAATTTTGCACACATGTTTATTTTTCCAGTAGGCAGGTTAAATTCGAGAATGGGCCATGTAGGTCCACGTTTTCATATAGCCCCCATATAACGGTACCTTCCGATATTCGGTATTTTGAAGATTTTAGCGACATTATTCAACGGAATTGTTTCAAATTTGGTATTTGAAGTTCGAAATGGATACTACACCCTAAGACAGAAAATTGTCTGTATAGGTCCACGTCTTCGTATAGCCCCCATATAACTGTACCTCCCTATATTCGGTATTTTGATGATTTTAGCGACATTATTCACCGGAATTGTTTCAAATTTGATATTTGAAGTTCGAAATGGATACTACACTCTAAGATAGAAAATTTTTTGTGCAGGTCCACGTCTTGGTATAGCCCCCATATAACGGTCCCTCCCAATATTCGGTATTTTCATGATTTATTCACCAGAATTGTTTCAAATTATGTATTTAGAGTTCGTTATGGGAACTTCAGTCTGTGACAGGAAATTGTCTATGCAGGTCCAGATCTTCGTATAGGCCCCATATATCAGTACCTCTCTATATTCGGTATTTTGACGATACAATACCCAATTGTATTGTTTTAGATGTGGTATTTGAAGTTCGTAATGGATGCTACAGCCTGTGACAGAAAATTGTCTATGCAGGTTTAGGTCTTCGCACAGCTCCGATATAACCGTACCTCCCTATACACGATATTTTGATGATTTTAGCTACATTATTCACCGTTTATTTCAAGTTTCGAATTTGAATATGGTAACGGCTTATGACAAACAATGTCTATGTAGGCCCACGTCGTATAGACCCCAATATAACGGCTATATTTGGTATTTTTAAAATTTTAACAAAATGTTTTAGGGATTTTATTTTTTGAAAATATCCAAATTCGTTCCATATGGTGGAGGGTATTCAAAGTTCGGCCCGGCCGAACTTGCTGCTTTTTAACTTGTTTTTCTTCCGTCCACTTTCTTGACGTCGGGCTGCGCTACCAGTATCACGGTAACGGACGATAGTACGAGACACAAAAGATGTATTCACATTTAAATGCTGGAGTGCTCAAGCGATAGCCACTTGTGGTTTTCCAGCCAAATATAAAGAAATCACACTATCAAGCTTGAATTCCATCACGAATAACTTTTTTTCTGGTAAATCCTCACCAAAATGCTTTTGTAAGCTTGTAATTAATATAATGAGCTGTCACTGGAAAAAATTTAACAGTTGTCGGACGAGTGGCTTTGAAGTGACACCAGTCTGAAGTTGGTTACAGTTTTTTAATTTCACCCTGTATACTGCAACCCAAAAAATAATTGAAAATAATCTAAACACAGGGCGAGTTCCCCTTCCATTGCATTTATTTGAAATTATCGGATTAAGATTCCTTGGAATCTTGCAATATTATATTTTGTCAAGGATTTTGACCCTCAACAAGCCACCAAATTCTTTTTTTGTCCTTTCCTCAAAGTTTACAAGGTGGCGCAAAAGTAAGCTTCCGATGTTCTTTGGCTGTAATTAAGAAAAAATGAAAAACTTTTATTCTTCTTGTGGATTTGTTTTATTTGGTCGTTTACTTTTTTTACATCAAGTCGAGAATATGATGTCATGTAAGTAGCCGCCATTACAGTTTATTGTCATTGTAGCCCATTTTAAGAGTCTGAAGCTAGTCCCATTTCAATATCGAAATTCTATTCGACTTTGTGGTGTCCACTATGTATGGTGGAGGGCATAAAAATAAAGTACTAATGGCTCAATCGACTTGGTTGGGGAACGTATAATATTAGTATTTCGAACATAGTTTTTTAAACCAAAACTAACTTTTATGTTACTTTTATGCATCAAATCGAGGAAAAGTTATCAAAAACTTTTTGACAACATTGATGTAGATATTTTATTGATATGTAATGGAAATAGCAATTTCTGTTCTTTAGTAACTCATAAATGATGAAAAATAATTTTGTCTATCCTTCTGAAATTATGCTTTGTAGACCCCAAAAATAGTTTTTAATATATATGTATTCTTGGTGACTTATAATAGAATTTTATGACAAGTTATTTTGTAAAATACGTTGACTTGCTACGATTCCGTTTAGATATAGTTTTAAACCACATTTTGAAAAAAGGGTCAGAAAAATTCTATAGTGACTCGTTTGAGGGTTTAACGGATTTAAAGGAATCTAAAACTGAAAATTTCAAAAAAAATGAAAGAGGGGGGAAACTGCCACCTTATAGATTACAATGCGATGTAAACATTTAAAACGCCGATCACATGTCTGATTTTTTCCTGTAATTGTTTTTTTTTTTTTTTCTTTTTGTACAGTGATATTAGATCTAGCATTTTGAAATTTAGTTGTAGGTTTTTTTTGACAAAGATTGTGTCAACATTTTTATACTAGTCACCATATTATGAAGGTTATTTAAATTTATAATTCCGCTTGTAACACCTCGACCCCTCAAAGTTTATATATAGCAATGTCCGTTTGTCCAATGTCCAATGTCCTTTCGAACGAGATGAAGTAGATTGATAACATTTTACTCAAATGTGTGTGCAGGACTTTTGGTATTGAAAATGGGCTATATAGGTCCACGTCCAGTTATAGCTCCCATATAATTGTACTTCCCTAATGTCAGTATTTTGATGTTTCTGGCAACATTATTCACCGGAATTTCGAAATGGATACTACAGCCTGTGACAGAAAGTTGGTATTTGTATAGCCCCCATATAGCGGTACCTCCCTATATTCGGTATTTTGATGATTTTAGCGACATTATTCACCAAAATTCTTTCATATTTCGTGTTTGAATTTCAAAATAGGTTCTACAGTTTATAACAGAAAATTGTCTATGTAGGTCCAGGTCTTCGTATAGCCCCCATAAATAGGTATATATCGGTCTTTTGCTGATTTCAGCGATATTATTCACTGGAATTGTTTCATATTTGCAATTCATACCTGGTTCTATAGACAAAAAATTGGCTATACAGGTCCACGTCTGAAAATTCACACAAGGAGTTACTTCTGAGTACTTTACACTCTGAAGGAGAATTGTCTATATAGGTCCACGATATCGTATAGTCCCCAAATAACGGTACCTCCCTATATTCGGTATTTTGATGATTGTTGTCAAATTTTTCAATGCAATTGCCTTAAAATCCACAAAAGGAGTTCCTTATGAGTACTTCACCTCCAGGAAGAGAATTGTCTATACAGGTCCACGATATCGTATAGTCCTCATATAACGGTACCCCCCGATATTCGGTGTTTTGATTATGTTGGTAACATTTTTTTACATTCAAATTGATGATATTAGCTACATTATTTAACGGAATTTTTTTAAATGTCGTATTTAAAGTTCGGAATCGTATCTATAGTCTACAACAAAAAATTACTTATGCAGGTCCACGTCTTCGTATAGCCGCCATATAATGGTTTTCATTTAAGTAGTATTTTTCTACGCATTTTTTTTAGATTTTTCAAGATCCTTCAAAATGGTGGAACTTAGCTGTTCTTTGGTACTTGTTTGTATAAGCCATATAACTGTACCGGCCGATTTTCGATGTTTGGGTTGCTTTAGTGACAATCTTAACCCGAATTTGCTGTAATTTGGTATTTTGCGTTCCCAATATGTCGGAATGATCATTGCAGGGAACTGTTTATATAGGTCCAAGTTTTGGTATGGCAGATACGGGATATAGAGGTCCACGTTTTCGTATAGCCCCATATAAATGTAGTACCTGATATTCGGAATTATATAAACTTTTTAATTAATTTTTATGCCTGAGCCAAGCCCTACCTAAATATTATGAAGTGCCAAGTCTTGACCATATTGGGTACTCCCATTTCTTCATACAATTTTGTCTTTTTTCGCCAAATTTCGAACGGCAAACTTTTTCTAAAGGAGTCGGCCGACGTATGTTTGGTAAAAATATTACGATGTACATGTTTAGATTAATGCGGATGCTCCCTTCGAGAAAATGGATACTACCGGTTCACCCCCTCAAGTTAACATTTTGAATAATCATTATTCTTATAACATTTGGAATAGCGAACTACTCCTTCTGGCACCTTTCCACAAAAGGTAAAATATTGAGAAATTATAACTCTCATTATATCCGAATGAAGTAGATTTCTCCAAGCATAGATAAAGTGTGAAAATGGGGTGTAACGGCCCACTCCTTTTGGTATTTCCCCCACAAAACGGTAAAACGTTTGATCAATTATAACTCTTACACCGATGTTTCTTTTAACTTCCCAAAAAGGTTCAACTTCCAGTCACACTATATCTATTGCGAATATAGGACTTAAGGTCTATGTGGAATGTGCAGGACAAACATTTATGTCGCAAAAATTATACAAAAATGGTCTAATGCTTCAGATTCTCTGAAGCAATATTAGTCCTCAAAGTCTCACAGCCGTTTCAAATGAAAAATCAAACAAAACTTTTTTTCCTTTTTTAATTCCTTTTCTGGAGGAGTATTATATTTAATCTCGTTGTAGATCGTCGGATAGCATTTCAAAATTCGTTGTAAATAAATTAATTGTCTTCTCTTTGGTATTAACCGTAGAATCCACCACGATAACCACCGAAACCGCCATAACCACCACGGAAACCGCCATAGCCACCATAACCGCCATAACCACCACGGTAGCCACCATATCCGCCACGGTATCCACCGAATCCGCCATAACCGCCACGGTAACCACCAAATCCACCATAGCCAAATTGGCGGGCTTCACGTTCACCGGTATTCTCATGACCTTGAACATCGACATCGTACAAGGACTGTTGCTGGGTTTCTTCGGAGTTTTCGACTGGAACAGCCATGGCAACGACAGCAAGGGCCACGAACAGGGCAAATACAGCTAAGAAGCGCATCTTTCTAATTTGTTTTTTTTTTTTGTTTGCGTAAAAATTGAACTATACACTCTGGAGGTGTTTGAAATTCTGATGCTATTGCAACCGCCAACTGCCACTATATATACGAAGTTACGAAAAAATGTTTACCCCGCTGGGTTTGTTTACAGATGACTTTCATCCATGAACCGAATCAATAAGGGGGCAGCGTATATAAATCTCTTCTCAGCGGCTTAAGCTAAAACGTTAAATATCGACGATGTATTTTGATTTTTTGTTTTGTTTTGTCTCGTGTTTTTTTTTCCAAAGAAGATTTTGGTGAAATCTGTTCTACGTAACCGGGAGGGAAAAATAACAACAACAGCAAAATCACCGAGTTAAATAAGTCTTTGGCGTAACGACAAACGCACAGCCAATCGCTGGCCGGTGATCATTAATGTAAGATTAGATTTTTTCTGTTATTAATTTCGATTTTCGCAGCGTTTAGCGCTGTCGTTATTTTTATTATTGGTCGTTTGCGGAATACAGTCCGAGACGCATAAGTTGGAATACTCAATATATTAGCGGAGTAGAAAAAATGACCTTAGTATTGTAAATCTATCATTTTGAAATTTACCGAGGATGTTATTAGTAAAACCATTGCACAATGGGCCCACTTCCAATTTTTTTGTTCAAACCTATTTCAAACCTTAGAAACTAACAGTGACCTCAAAATTAAATTTCAGAATTTTTGGTCTATCCCTTCACCCAATACCAAATTTAATAATAACACATATCCAAAACAATCTACATCTCTTCATCCTAGATATCCATTGGCATCTAAAATTAGTTCCATTTAGTATATTTCGAATAATTATAGTACGCATTTGTAAAAACCATCCTCAGATCTCAACACCAGATACCAACAGAGATCTCAATATTACATATCGGGATTCCAGCCCTATTCATTCACTCAATACCAAATACAGCAACATTTAGTACTTTTCGTTTAATTAAGTTCTTATTTGCAAAACCGATTCACATTTCAATCCTAGACACCTCTATCCCCTCATCCAATAACAAAATTAGCCCGGTTTAGTACTTTTCGTACAGTTATAGTGCACATTTCGAAATCCACCTCCAGATCTGAATTCCAGATACCAACAGTGACCTGAATATCAAATTTGAGGATCCCAGTCCTATCCCTTCACCCAATACCAAATTTAGTACCACTTAGTACTTTTCGAACAATTATAGTACACAATTCCACCACAAATCTTGATCAAAGACACCAACATTTATAAAATTTCAGTATTTCAGCTCTATTCCTTCACTCAGTACTAAATTAAGTACTATTTAGTACTTTTCGTACAATTATAGTACATGTGTCCAAAGCCACCACCATATCTCAATTACAGATACAAACAGGGACCTCCCTTCATCCAATACCAGATGTAGTACCATTTAGTACTTTTCGTACAAATATATGACACATTTCCATACCAACCTCAAAATCTCAACTTTAGATACCAAAGATTATCTAAATATCAAATTTCAGTATTTTATCTCTATTCCTTCAACCAAGTCCAAATTTTGTACCAGTTAGTACTTTTCGTACAATTATAGAAAATATGTCCAAAACCACCTCCATATATCCAGACTACACATGAACTGCGACCCAAATACCAAATGTCCGATTTGAGCATTGTATGTTCACCCAATACCAAATTGTACTAATTGTTGAACTATTTAGTACTTTTCATGCACTTGCAGTACACATTTCCAAAACCATCTCTTTATCACAAACCTACCACCAACAGGGACTCTAATGCAGAATTTTACAATTCCAGCTTCATCCGTTCACCCTAAACAAAACTGTTCCAAATTTAGTACCATTTAGTGCAGTTCGTACCACCTTTATATATCAAACTAACTTTCCAACCTTGATTTTCATACCAATCAAAAAAAGTTTTTAGCTCCATCCATTCAAATAATACCAAATTAGGTCATATTAGAAGTTTAGTACAATTTTTGAGCTTTTCGTAACCTTAAAGTTCGAATTTCCAAAAACCGTTTGGTACATCTATCCTGCACTCCACATTTCAGAATTCTAGCTAATTATGTTTGTTCAAAACAAAGTATTACATTTTTAGTATTTTGTGTACCAATTTCCAAAAACCCAGACCTATAACAAGCCTTCGCACAAAGATTGACACTCGTGCAAAATTTCAAGATTCTCAGTCAGTCAGCTATTTGGCTTGAAGGTAATATAGTATATTCACGATCTATGTCTTAATCGTATCATATTCGAATATAACATTTGTGTCAGGATGAAAATAGACAATCGACAAAATTCTTCTTGAACCTACCCCCCCACCGATATTCTTCAATCTTAGATCTTGCCATTGTTTCTGTCAGTCTCAATCCGCCCTTTTTTGATATCACTCATCCCCAAGATTGTTAAAATTTTCAAAATAATTACCTCCCCCACCGAATGTAACCATTTTAAATAAAATGTGAAATTATTTTCCGATTTTCTCAAAATTCAAAGCAATATTAGATCTAGTGAAAAGTTGCCAAAAAATTGGAAAAACATTATGTAATAATCCGATTCCGACCATGTCTGTCTGTCAATATATTGGACTTGGTCACGGGCGAAAATAGAAGAAGATAAACAAACACATATTCCGTTACACCTTCGTTTTATTGGTATTAGATATTACCGGTTTGCTTCAATTTCCAAATACAATAAATTCACGTTATACAAAAACTTTCCATTCATGCGAATCACATGTATTCAGAGCTGACTGTATCTTCTGTTTGGGTGTTTTCGATTTTGAGCGGCCGGCAGTTGATGGACATATCAATAAAAACAACTCCCTCATTTCGCCGATAAACAAAAGCAAACACAACAACAACAGTAATGGTATTATGAGAAGGCAAGACTCTTAACCCACATGATGTCGATGCTACTCAAATTCTAGGGTACGAATGGAAATGTACCAAAATTGGGCTATCTTTGCAAAACATTAAATGGTGGAGAATTGTATTCCTCATAACTTGGAAAATTAAATATTGCGTGGAGACTATCGTGAAATGAAGCTGTTAGTAAAAGAGAATATTAATAGTAAATACAATCAGGGAGAGGGAGAACACAGAAGTAAAATAATCAATAAATAAATTAATTGTTTTGCGGAAATAAAAATTTACAAATTTGCACTTTGCGATAGAATGAAATGAGAAGTTGTATTGGAATATTTATACCCTACACCAGACAATGGTAAGGTTATTATGTCTGTGTGAATTGGTATGTGTGAAAATCGGTTAAGAAATTGCTATAACTCCCATATACCAGGTGAGATGAAAAAACTGCAATCAGATTGCTGTCTATTCTAAGACATGCATACAAAAGCACTTTGGTGACAATTTTCCAGAAAAAAAGTTATTCGTGATGGAATTCAAGCGTGATAGTGTGATTTCTTCTTGTACCATTTCCAGCGACCAATGGAAAATCTCCGGATACCAATCCGTTGGACAATTGTATCTGGAGTATTTTGGAAAGCAAGGTTGGCACTAAAAAACACCAAGCCTCGATAGAGTCCGCATTATTTAATCGAGAGCTTTGGAATTCACACAAAGGTTCATATTATATGCAGCCTGATTTATATTGAAAATGGGCTATATTGGGTTGTATCGTAAGATGAGGATTATATCGTAATATAGGCCTATATTATGAAGCCTTAATAGCAAATAAAAAAGGAATAACTAAAAATACCTATAATCGGGAATAACCTTCAAAATACATCAAATGTAAAACATAAATATTATATGGGGCTATACTAAAATCTGATCCGATTTCGATGTGTTTTTCGAGTTTGTGTACTTAATGAGAAACAAGTAAGCAAAGGCTACAGCCGAGCGGGGCCGACCGTTGAATACCCTACAACACTATAATAAACCATACCGTTTATATAGGCGAAATACTCGACAGAATTCCACAAGATATTGTGACAAATAATAAAAGAAAACCATCAGGTTTCGTTCTCTAATTTTCGAATAATAGCAACTTAAACTAATTTGCTAATTTCCAATTTATTGGTAGATGTTGCACTTAAATGGTCTTCCTAGATCTGGAACCAATATTTCCCAATGACCTATAACCTCTCAGAAGTGGCAAAAGATTAACATTTATTATTGGTTTTTGACTGAAACGCATCTATATGAGATACAGACATTTGACCATATTCTTCAACGAAATTAGCGTTAACAAAATAGTCGGTATTTGTGAATTCTCCAAAAAGTCACTGGAATTGACATTTTCGTATTTTGTCTACAAAAGTTGGCAAACTCCTTCACACATTGAATATTTTTGGATGGCCATCCAAAACTGCTTGGCTTTTGCAATGTCCGGTAACCCCCATTCAAACGTGAGTGAGGATCGGGCAATAATTACGACCTGCTGGCAATTTTGCAGTTTTTTTGGTCCATTTCAACCCCTAAATATATGGCGATCATCTCCAAAAAGAGTAGGCTTCTATTCTGACCCTCATCTGATCCCCATGCAAAATTTCGTTAGGATCGGGCCATAAATGCGATCTGTATATGATATCCTGATATCCCAACTACTTAGTTTTGTTAGCTTTAGAAATATTACCAAATGTTTAATTCAAAATGAAAATATGCCAAAAATATGACAAAATTGAAAAAATATGAGAAAATTTTACAAAATCAATATTTTCATCTTTAGAGAGATATTTTTATGCGATTTTTTAGACGTTTTTTCTTTCCTGCCAAGAGGCCATTCTGAATTAATGAGAACTGTCGAAATCAGTTCAGCCGTTCTCGACATATAAGAGATCTTTGAAGCATATCTCCTTTGATAGACCTATATATCGCACATATTTTGCTATATATCCGATTTGTTGGATAATAACATCAATGTAAAGGTCAGAAGTAACCTTGTGATGGCTTTATGATTTCGCCGGAATTTAAAATATTCGCGGTTTAATGAAAAATTTTGAATTTTTTTCAACACAAAAGATATGGTATATTTTACCCGCTAAATATTATCCGATGACCACCCAAATTAGTAGGCTTCTTCCCCGCCCTAAACTCTATCTACATGCGGAATT